GAAGTGTTCTCCGTTTCTGAAAGAAGCATGTATCTTTTACCATTAATTAGACACAACTTGTTATGTCAAACATATCTAAATTAATTGGTAAGTTTATTTTAAACAATTGCAACATTTTCTTTTAAAATCCTTTCACTCACTAAAAGCTTGAAAGTACTACAAGGTTCATATAAGTATCTTTTGAGTTACGTGTGGCAAACACACCCTAATTCTTGAATCAAAACTAAATAGCACATATCATACTACGCCAAACTTATAAGGCTTGGGGGTGTTTGGAATTGCTTTTGCTTCGTTTTTAAAAGCAGAAGCAGAAGCATGATCAGAATCTGTTTTAAAAAATCAATTTCCCTCAACTTCTAAAAAATTGTTTCTTTGAGCAATTTGGAACACCCAGAACTACTTTTGCACTTTCACCCATACACTTCAATATCTATTTCTGCTCTCTGAAGGAGCATAAACATTTTTAAGAAGTAGATCTGAACACCTCCTTAAACCGATCATATCAACTTCAACCAAACTTTGATAATTATATAAAACACATAATACCATACATCTAGACCTTATTTGGTCGTATCACACTTGATTAAATCACACCGGAACAAAATTAAATATACCAGATCAATTCAAATCAAAATAAGATTTCAATTCATGTGAAAACGCTTTTAATACTTCTGTATAAAGTATAAATAATATTGAGTGTAATATTAATTAAGTATATTTTCAATTTGAAACTATCTAGTTTGATTTGTTCTAATTTAATCTAATCTAGTTTGTGTTTAAGTCTGATCCGGTAAGGTCTATATTTTGTGTATTTTTGTATTGGCTCAATCTAATATGGTATGTTTACATAGTTGATCATGTTTGATCTGGTCTATTTAATTTTGGTTAACTCTAATTATCTATTCTAATATAAAAGCAAAAGAAGTTTGAGGAATAGTGTTCCCCCCAAGAAATGTCAACATCAAGTTTTATTTTAATTTTTATTGGATACTTTATTTTGATTAAAATACTAATTTTCCATTGGTTGAAATGGGTGGTGGGAATAGTCAAATACTTAAACCTTATTGGTTGAAATGGGTGGTGGGAATCGTCAAATACTTAAACCTTATTGGTTGAAATGGGTGGTGGGAATAGTCAAATACTTAAACCTTATTGATTGAAATGGTTGGTGGGAATAGTCATATATATACTTAAACCTTATTGGTTGAAATGTGTGATGGGAATAGTAAAGCTTATTGATTGTTTCCAAATTCCTAAAAGATTGCAATGGACTTTCAGCTATAAAAGCAATGTGGATGCAAGAAGGTTTTCACATTCATTCATTCTCATATCAAAGCACTAATTGCACAATACACAAGTGTTGATATTTATTTCTCTTTATGTTTCAGAGTCGAGTGCAGCAGAGATTTCTTATCTAACTTAGCATAAATATTTGGGAGATTGAAGTTAAAATACGTAGTATCAGATAACCCAACTATTTATGGTGATATATAGGAGGAGGACGAGTTCAGTCTCTTGAAACGAGAATTTTCTTGAAGCGAAAAGGTGAATATATTCTTATTTTCTAGATGTATTAAGTTATTTCAAACCTCACAGTTAGTAGGTATGTGAATTAACACTCTATTTCTTTAATTCCCAACGGGTGGATTCAACGATCCCTTTGTTGAAATGTTGAATAAAGAAAAGAGAATTGTGCTGGAAGTTGATGCAGAAAGAGTGAAGATAGATCTGTTTGGAGAATTTTCTTCAACCATGTCTATGAAGAAGATGAAGGGGGTAAAGATTGAGGAGCCTAAGTCTTGATATTATTCGTGAGATTTAACTAATATGTTTTAAGTATGTAATGCTTAGCACTAAGTTTATTATGGGTATGCAATATCTAAAACCTAGACGCATGAAGAACTTATGTTTAGAAGACAACAAGTTGAGGTAACTTAAGTCAGTGTCTTATACGTCTTTTGTTTTTTGAAATTTGTTATTTGTTCGCTCCTAAATGTTCCTATTCCCGCTCCTGCTCAGACATGTAATTTTTAATCTTAATTCATTCCAAAAAAAGGAAGTTAGTGCTAAATCTTATATATCCATTGTATAGCATCAACCTACTTAAGTAGTTAACCTACTTTTATACATTTGTTGTCATACTATTTGTAAGCATGATGTTGCGAACACCGATTTGCTAAAAAAAATAGATGTGATTTTTTTATTGTAGTTGGGCAAAATTAATGGTTTCAGAGACGTACATCGGATTTCTACATCTGTTCCGGTCCTAATTCTATCCTAATCTATACCTAATTATTAAATTATTACATTTCCAACTTACAAATTAAGATGCAACAGACTAAATTAAATCGACATTTCAAAGAAGTACAAGTTAAATAAACAACGGTCAACCAAACAAAAGACATCCCCAGACCTGCATATCAAATGAATGTTGTTAAAAATATTGAATTTTTTTTACAGTTATCAGTAGATAGGCATATTGTTCTTTATCCTTATTTATGTGAAATGGAGATTAAATGTATGTGAATATACGGATTAAGTGTGTCACTGATGAAAACATTACTACTTCAATTCCAAAATGTATAGCCAAATCTTTAAATTTGAACCATGGTCTTGATTAGTATAATATTATGAAAGATTGAAATTTTATACTATTATGAAATGACTTTTAACCAAGAACATTTTCATATCATTTTTATATTATAAAAAAGTTTCAATAAATATATATTATTGCTCAAATTGATAGTATTATTTTTTAACATTTGATTTCACCATAAATTGGTTGAAAAAAAAAACATATCGTAATTTTATAATTGTAGGTTGGACAAAAAGAAATAATTCAAGAGACATTAATGGAAGGAGTATTTTTTTTAATAAAGTGTTGTATTTATTAGAGTTGTGCTATTTAAATAAAAAAGGGTCATCTTAAAATTATCAAATTCATAGAAGTCTATGTGTTTGGTGTGTGTTACATCTATGTTGTCTTTTGTTATACCGGGTCGAGAAGGGCTGGAGTGGAGATTGGATGTTGGGGACAAATAATGGGTAGGCAATAACCGTTTGGAATTCGTTTATGGCGATTCGGGTTTCGGGTTGTTCAACCTCATGAATGAGTTCATCGATCTCCCAACAGTTCGAAATATTTAAAGGTATGTGGTGTAGTTGTATTTAATGAGATTGAGTTATTATTAATGGCACATGACATGTTTACCTGGGCAATCATTTAGAAAATGAAAAAATATTTGCTAAAACATTTGTGCATTGTGAGAGTGAATTTACTAGAATGAAGGGTTTTAATTTTAACACGGGTTAGTGCGGGACAAAAGGTGTTAATTTCGAAGCATTTCTTAACACCTTAAAACGTTAGCCATTGCAATTTCGGATACTAGAATACCTAAACATGACTTATTGTGTCATAAATGTAAATAAAATCAAAAATAGTTGGTGCCCCGTGTTGCATGGTTTGTTGTTGAAAACACTTATATGTAGTTATTGTCAATTTTACGTGGTTGTGTCAGGAGCAATCAATTTGTCGAGCGTTAAACAATCACATTACATACAATGATTGAAATTGAAACGGAGAATATTGTAGGTCTATAAAATGTGTGAACTACTCAGTAATCATTAAAAGGTCATACTGAATATGTTTCATTTTTACGTCAAATTTTATTATTGTACAGAGAATAATTGTAAATGATTCAAGTAAAATTAGAAATTTTTTAACTTTAAATTTGATTAAATTAATTGCATCGTGAAAATTTTCAAACCGTGCATCGCACGGGTGCTCTACTAGGATCGAATAGAGCCGCTTAAGGCCCGATTGGCCCAGACACCCAGTACAATCAGGCCGAACCGTGCATCACACGACTTCGGTCTAGTATCGAGTAGAGCCGGTTAAGGCCCGATTGAAGAATTATCATATTTGAGTATTGTTTAATAATGCCATAACACACATTCACATGTTTGCACACCCCCTGATTTGCCAATTTACCCAGGCAATTCGTGTAAAAAATGCAATTCGTATAAATGCATAGTCACCATATTCCTTGAGATGTTTATACTTAGACTTATATCAATCTCAAACCAAACCAAACTTAAACAAACCAGACCAGACCATACTTGGATATTAGAAATAGTAGAAGCAACTATTTGAACATTTTTCCACAAATTTAGATTCAAGTATAATTCAAGAATGACATAACACACTCGCATATTTTACTCCCTTATTTTACCAATTTAGAGAGACAATTCGTCTAAAAAATGCAATTCGTGTAAGTTTAAAAATTGTAATTGTTGATGACGATGAAGGAACCATTGACAAGACTCAGAATGTTGTATTCAAAGAAGTGTTCAACAATGTTTAGGTTTACATTAAATGCATATTTACAATGTGATGGATTCAACGTATTTGTTGGAAATTTTTGATCTTTTAAGTAATGCTTAGTACTCTCATTTTGACCATAATATTATAAGTGTGTTTCGTTTAATGCTTTGATGTATCAGTATTACATGAAGATAGATGATGTCATCAATTGATAATGTGATTTGAATCACTAAGCACACATAAATTTAAAAGAAAAATTTTCAAACCGTGCATCACACAGGTGAGTTTACTAGTATTAAATAAGGAACTTTAGGCTTCCACTATCTAAAGCTAAGTGCCCCTCCCTTAGAGGGTTGTCTCAGCCTGCTCCGGAGTACTTTGTCAAGTCCAACACCTAGTTGGTTTAGATCACTCCTCAATCGAGGGCACAAGTATGAAGATACAAGCATTCCAGCCCAGCTGGTTGTGAAGTTACCATTACGTCTCGAGTTCGAAACCCGCTAGGCACATAAGGGTTTGAAACTCAATGGAGTGAATTTCAGCCCTGATTACTTCAGGCTCCCCAGACCCCAGCCCACTGGAGTAAAGAAAATGGTAATTAACGCTATTAGCAATTCTAGTCATAATCTCAAATGAATCCAAGCATCTCAGCTCACGTTACGCCATTCAAATGGATTCTTGATCTCCTTAGTGGTCACATATCCAAGAGTGCAAACACTAGTCAATTACACACGTTTTCTTTGATAATAGCACAATATCTTACATTAAAAATCCTAAATCAAGGTCTCATAAGGAACTGATCCGAATCGGGTTCCAGAAGATGAAACTACTCTCCCCGGACAACACCGCACAGCCCGCTCCAACAAGGGCGTGTTTGTTGATTTTTCACCTAAGTATACTGAACAATCATATTCTAAGACAGAAGTATATTGTATCAGAAACATGAAAAAAGTATTCCACTAGAAAGTATACAAACTCACAAGTATTAATACTATCTAAGATGCAAAGCATATCATGACTCTTCCAAACCTTCTCCATCAACAAAAAAGGGGTTCAAAAACTTTGCGACAAATACCCACATCCTATAAACATCTTCAAAATTGGTTAAGAAACCAAGTGTCGCTGTGACCACCTCTATCCGGAAGAGATGGTTTTTTTTATCATGACAGCCGCTCGACATCAGATTATACGGTGTAAAATCTGCACCATCCAAATTCCTGTATATCCTGTGGTCACCATCAACCGCTTGTTGTATATGACTGAGGATACCAACACCAAGAGATATCCCATGTTTCTCAGCCAACTTCTGAATGGTCTCCGGATGGATTAGGCCACCTCTACGGCTCTCTCTTATGTTAAATGCAATGGACCCACCTCTTTCGTACTTTATCTTAGGACCATATATTTGAACAAGACTCCCTCCCTTGAGGAACTGAAGCTGCAACAGTGAGGTAATCAGCCAGTTGGTCAAATACCTTAGTCTCAGACTTGTTTTGTTAAGGCCCAATGTGTCAACGTGGTCCAGATGGCAGCAGGTTGTTTCCGGGTCCCGCCGGCCAATGAGAAACCTCCCGTCACTATGTCTCATTTGTTCTCTTCTTCCCAACAACATAAAGTCACATTCTTTCCTAGAAAGGAGTTGGCCTGATTGATCAGAGCGGTTTGGGATTTGACCAGAATGGATCCGGGACGAATAAACAGATAATCCATCCTCACTATCAGCTTCATCATATATGGTGCTTGACCCGTCTCGATCTGAGCTATCATCTTCTAAGTCAATCTCTCCGTTAAACACACCTTTCACCTGTTCAGACGTGAAAACCCCGGAAAATGCAGGCAAGTGGGACTCCCCCGGTTTATTATCACCCAATCCCTCCTCAAGAAATCCGAACTCACCATCCAAACAGCAATCTTCGAAAGAGTCAGCATGGTATTGAGGGAGCTCGGGGACAATCCTGACCATGTCGGTCCCCGTTCGACCTGGCTGGCTCTGTAGGACTGGCATTACTGATTTCTTTATGAGAAGGCAGCCGAAGCCGGTTGGATCAGAACCGAATACCTTATAGAAAGATGTGATTATGAAGTCTGGCCTGAAAAGGGACAGCCCGAGCGAGTCCATATCTTTTGGGCCTAATGAACCGGCATCCAGCAAGACGTGCCAGTTCTTTTGCTGTGCCAATGCCATCCATTGGTAAGAATACGTGGCTCCTGTGACCCGAGACTGAACCGGAAAGGCGAAAAGCCCAACCGCAGAAGCCTTTCTCTTCTTCCTCTTCACAGATATCTCCTTCCTAAGCTCCTCAGAGCAAGGGTTCAAAGATGGCCAACTGAACCACACCTTCGAAACCTTTGCACCTTTCTGTTTTGCACATTGTGCCATCCAATTAACTGATTGGCTCTCATGGTCAAACATGGTCAACAGATTCTTATTCTTGTGGAAAGGGTAAAACTCAGAAACCAGTTTAAATGCAGAACCTCTACTGGCAGTGAACAGTAGAGCATACTCCTTTTCTTGAATGTGCAAATAATCCATAATCCTAAGCTTAATGTCATGTTCCATGGTCCCTTCTTCAGCACCCCCATGTAAAGCTTGATTGTTCAGATTTGCAGTGATTTGTTTTAAGGTAAATGAAGATGTGTTCCAGCAATGGACCATTTGGGAGTACGAAAACAACCCGAACCCACAATAATCAAGACATACCTTAGAATCAGGATCAGAGAGGTGACTATACTCATTCGATCTCAAGTGATGAATTATCCTTTCTGAAGATTGGAACTTTGGGTACATAGAAAGAAACTTAAGAAAGGCTTCTTGGTAATCAGGAATGGATTCTTCTGTGTAGAACGTCTGGGCAGCAGCAAGGGAAGTGGCATGCAAGAATTCCTTTTGGGCATTTAATTTAGCCAAAGAAGTTGACCTGCCTGGGAGTCCATCTTCATCCATGTCTTCGGGTTTTGAAAGTGGCCCGTTTTCAGATGCATCTTCAAGAGCTTCCCTGAGTTTGTGCTCCTGCAATTGCCTCAAAACTGAAGAAGGGCGAGGAGGAGGCCTTTCTTTGGCTGCCCCAACAGATTCATCTCCTCCTCTTCTGCCCATGATCTTTGCTGCATAGTTGGACAGAGGTTTCCATAGTGAAAAATGCATTTGAAAATTTGAAATTTGAAATGGTTTGTCTCCACCACTGTAAAGCTAGCCCAAGAGACCAAAGATATATGGAAAACCTGAAATTTTGAATGTGTGTTGGTCGAACCTGGAATATGGAAAAGCACAAAATGAACTAATCTTTTTTAAATTAAAAGAAGAAATAAAACCCAAACTTGGTCTTAAAAAAAGGCATAAAAGCTAGAGAGAGCCAAACATATTTGATTTGGAACAAACCTTTGACATTAAAGAGAGAGGCAAACCCTAGGTCGCTTTAGTATCCCCACAATTCAAATCCCAAGAATCTCCAAATGTGTCTGCCCCAACAAAGATTCCATCTCCGGATGATAAAGAACCCATTTTTGAGCCACTCCACACTCAATTTCAAGAATGAAACACTTTTTAATAATAAGAGAAAAACTACAAATTTAAACAGTATAGGTCGACAGATTTTGGGAGTTAATAAAGCAACAAGCATAAATGAAGCCGCTTTCTTCAAGTCTTCATCTTATCATCTAGGAAAAATACAATATAAATATAAATATGGAACCTAAACTAAAGGTGTCATAAATGAAGCCGCCTTCTCCTTCAAGTCTACATATTTTCTTCAGAGTCAAAAAAGGTCAAGAATTGTCAATGTATAACTGTGATACAACGGAAAGCTAACCCAATGTTTTAAAAATAAATTAAGCAGATTAAATCCAAGGAAATGTGTTGAAATAAACTCTTGAGAAGCAATTCCAGCTTCGCAGTCACTAACAATGGCAGAAGAGGAAGAACAACGCTGAACAAAAGAAAAGAGCAAATGATGGCTAACCAAATAAAGATATCAAGAAGGACCATCACTTCATTTATTCATCTTTCCCTTTACCCGCATTAATGAACTAAATCATCACCGTTGATTTGCTACGATATTAAATTACACGCCTCTCTGCGGCACCTCTCTCTCGCCGTTTGGGCTTTTGCAGGCCTTCCCCGGACCACACAGAGCTGAAATTGCAGAAAGGGGCGGTGTAAAACAGTCAATGCTGTGGGCCCACAGTTGCAATACTGCACCGCCTACTATACCACAGCATTTAGCACATCCGGCAGCTGTGGGGCCCCTATTAGTCTTTTTTGAATTTGGATTAGATAAGGATGACGCATTCCATCCCGAATACGGAGAACATTTACGGGCATGTTTGGTTTGGTGAATTTTTTTTTCAAATATACTTGTATATAAAAAAAATTAACAAAATTCACAAGAATTATTCATCTTTTATGGATTCTAACCAATAACATTGTCTAGAGTTTTCATAAAGAAATTTTTACTATTAGTAGTGTTCACTACGGATGGCAATGAGGGCGGGGGCCATGGGGAACTGCCTCGCGGGGGTGAGTGGGGCGGGCGGTGGGATGGGATGGGTATGGAGATGGAGGAATTATTTACTTTTCGCTTAAATATGGGGCGGGTGATGGGTTATGTACTCCCGCACCGTCTCCTCTTCCCTTGTATATATACAGATATTAATAATTAATAATAATAACAATAACAATAACAATACTACTATTATTACTAATAATAATAGTACAAATAATAATACTAATACAGAGTAATTAAAATAGCATACTGGCTTGGTGGGTTTAGTGATTTCCTATCCAATAAGCTCTATCTAATGCCTCTATCTAATTCTTGTGTACTAACTCAGCTATCTTGTAAAGTTGGTTATCAAAATCATAAAGTAAAATGAATTTGAGAAAGTTATAAAGTGATATTATAGCTTAAACGCCTCAGGCAAAGTGTGAATGTTTTCTTCTTTACTATTATAGTGTATTAATTCTTTTCTTAGAAATGCCAACTTTATAATAGTAGTAAGAGCTCTTAAAAATCCGGTGATCTTAGGTTGACCTAGATGCTATCAAATGACCACAGTTGATTGAATAGAAATTAGTTCAAATAGGACTAAAACTATGGCAAAAACCTAAAATAGAACTTGCTATGTTTTTATTCCAAAATAGGACCATATGAGTCTTATTGGAAACATACCTATTTTTTCATTCCATTCTTACCCTTCCATTAAATATGAATTAAAAATAGTCAAAAGCCATAATTAAATGTTTAATTCATAATAAATTCGACAAAAAATCAAAAATTCGTAGAAATATAATTAAAAAATTTATAAAATTTTTATAAAATAAAAAATTCAAAAACTCTTTTTTTTAATAATTTTATTTTTAAAAAAATTAATAAAAAATAATAAAACTCCGTAAAAAAAATTTTAAAAAATATGGATGCCTTTCCCACCGCCTGTACTACCTCCCAGCACCACCACCTCCGGGCGATGAAAAAAATGCCATTTTCCCAGAAAAATGCCATTTTTTTTTCTGAAAATGCCAAAAAAGTGGCATATTTCTCTTTTCGAATGCCAACATTTTCATTTTTTTCTGCCATAAATATGGCATTCGTAATGAACTTGTCATTTTTTTCCCCTGGTGACTGGAGGTGGTGGTGCAGAGGCGGCGGCGATTTTTTTTTTTTGAGTTTTTTTTTTTTATTTTTTTTAATTTTTTTACTTTTTTGAAAAAAAATCTAATTAAATTTTTAATATCTAAATGTTTTTCTTAATTTTTTAGTATTTTTTACGAATTTTTATTATTTTTTATTATTTTATTAGGAATTAAAACATTTTAATAGCTATAAGGGTATAATTGTCCAAGGTACACATAATTAGTCCTATGCAAACATAGTTTATTTTTTGGTCCTATTTGTGAAAAAGTGAATGACTTTTAGTCCTATTTTGATAATTAACTCTTGATTGAATGCAGGGTTTAAGAAAATATTATAGAGTTAATCAATGCTAATAAAGTGTCTGATAAAATGATTCAATCAAAACACGTATAATGCGTTCTAGATTTAGAAGGGGATGCAAGATTACATTGACACTTAACTAAAGGGTTTTTTGGCTACTGTTGTTTAATTTTTGAAAATTGTGAGGGTCTAAAATGGTGTTAATTCTTCTTTTTTTGCAAGAAAAGAAAATAGAATGCATGACACTGAGAAACGTTAATTGATGAAAAACTAAGGTGCCGTTTGGAGCATCAAAAATAGGCCGATAAGCCTTAAAGTGCATAAAAATCTCCAAACACCTAGCAAATTGGTTACCTGAGCTGATTTTTCTTATCAACTCAAAAAACAAGTGCTCCCTTACTTTTCCAGCTGATATGTATTATTCTACTGTTGGTCATCGGAAAGACCCCTTCACCCGGCAGGTGAAGACTGCCATTTAGCTCGCTTGTATCAAAAGATTATCCCAAGTCATTCAACCCTTCAGCTTGCTCACTCGCTTTGCCGATCTGCGTTTCCTTCTCTTTGGCTGAGAAAAACTTTATTTCGAGATTATCTATTCACCTTGTGCAGAATCTCTCTTGGATTTGGCTTTGATTCATCTATTATATATCAGAATTGAACCTCTCAAATATCATACATATATGATACTCCCTCCGTCTCAAATTGTTTTGCAAAGTCAATATTTTTTGGTCAACCAATAATAGAAGTCAATCTTTCCTATCGATAGTTAACTCAATTTTTAATAATTAAAATTTACATATTTAGAAATTACATTAAAATCTCTTCAAAGTTGCAAATTTCAAATTAGAATATAATTAAAAATTGACATCCTAGTTAAGCAAATAAAATGAAACTGTTTGACTAAGAAAAGTCAAATTTGCAAATCAATTTGGGACGGCGGTATTATAATTTTCTGTTTTTATGTTTTCAATTGTTCTTAATTTTTAAAGCTCTTTGTTTCTAGGTTATAGAAATTTGGTAAGTTTTTGTAAATGCATCCAAAGAACTTCTTTGAGTTAAGACTCAAAGATAAAGAGTAACTAACATCTTCAAACCAGCTTGTTTACAACCCCTGTGGTTCTTCAAGATTTTCTGGTTTTCTTTTCCCTTGAAAAAATCCCAATTTATTTAGTTAGAATTGGAAATATCACATGAGTCGGCTATGAAAATAAATTACGTACCTCGGATGTTATGCTTTCATGAAGAAAGGATGTATTGCAATTTCAAGAACAACGTACAATAGCAAATTCGGAGTATAACAGTTTTGCAATTTCAAGAACAAAAGTAGCAAATTTGGAGTATAACAGTTTTGCAATTTCAGGAACAACAATAGCAAATTCGGAGTATAACAGTTTCATACCCTTTATGGTAATTTTACGTTCAATTAGTCATTTCAGCCAATATATTACCAAACACTTTCACTTCAGCAGGTTCAGTCTGCTCAGGCTTTTCAACCATATCAGCCATTGCAGTTGTTACCAAACCGGCCCTAAAGCACCAAAGTTTTTTTAGCTTGTAGTTGTCGCATTAAATGATGGATTCTCACGTATCATTCAAAATAGGCTAATTGCCTTAGGTTTCATTAATCACAATAGTATAATTTATACAAGTAATTACATGGGCCCATGGGCTGTTAAGACTATATGAAGGTAAACACTAATTACATAATAAGACCCAAAATAGTTATTCTAACAGCCCCCCTCAAGTTGGAGCATGGGGATTACAAATGCCCAACTTGGAGAGAAGAAATAAAAATTGCCGTTTACCAAGAGCTTTAGTAAATATATCAGCCAGTTGATCGCGAGAAGCAACATGATGAGTGGTGATCAAGCCGTCCCGAATAGCATCTCGTACATAATGACAATCTACCTCGATGTGTTTAGTGCGTTCATGAAACACCGGATTCTGAGCAATGTGAAGAGCAGACTTACTATCACAAAACAAGAGCATAGACCGAGTGTGAGGAACACCGAGACTAGACATCAGACCTTTAAGCCATTTTAATTCTGCGGTTAAAGAGGCCATGGAACGATATTCCGCTTCGGCAGAAGAACGAGATACAGTATGTTGTTTCTTGGATTTCCAGGAGATGGGAGATCCTCCAAGAAACACGAGCCATCCGGTGAGTGAACGACGAGTAAGTCGACAGCTAGCCCAATCAGAATCACACCAACCTGTAATAGTCAAATCACAGGTAGTAGTAAGTAGAATACCTTGGCCAGGACTACCTTTCAGATACCGGACCACCCGGAGAGCAGCATATCAATGGTCCCTCCGTGGGGTCTGCATAAATTGTGACAGGATGTGGACCGCATATGCAATGTCAGGACGAGTGAAAGATAAGTAAAGAAGGCGCCCAACCAGACGTCTGTAGGAAGCCGGATCCGAGAGCACACATCCAGTCGCAAGAGCTAAAGTATGGTTTGGTTCAATAGGAAAATATGCGGGTTTTGAACCAAGTAAGCCAACTTCTGTGATAATATCCAGTGTGTATTTACGCTGACAAAGGAGAATGCCTTCTGGATTGCGAGCCACCTCAATGCCAAGGAAATATTTTAAAAAACCCAGATCCTTCATATGAAAACAGGTACTCAAATATGATTTAAAAGCAGAAATAGCAGTAGAGTCATTGCCAGCAATAATTAAGTCATCAACATAAACCAAAACATGCAGCGAAACGTCCTCCTTGCGGAAAATAAACAATGAATAATCAGAATAAGACTGAGTGAAACCATAAGATTTGAGAGAAGTTGCTAATTTTGCAAACCAACAACGAGGAGCTTGGCGCAAACCATACAAGGACTTCTTCAAACGGCAAACAAGACCTGGACGAGTAGGATAGAAACCGGGGGGTAGCTTCATGTACACCTCCTCATCGAGGTCACCATGAAGAAAAGCGTTATGCACATCCATCTGATGAACCTCCCAATTGCGGGCAGCCACTACCGCAAGGAAAGTTCTAACGGTGACCATCTTCGCCACGGGAGCAAAAGTTTCTGTATAATCAATGCCCTCCTCTTGATGATTGCCAAACACAACAAGACGGGCCTTGAGACGTTCAACGGTCCCATCAGAGTTATACTTAATTTTGTATACCCATTTACATCCAAGAGCCCGTTTTCCGGGTGGCAATTGCGTCATAACCCAAGTGTGGTTATCCTCCAGCGCTCGTATTTCTTTCTGCATAGCATCTCGCCAACCGGCGTGAGTCATGACCTCT